TTGAAAACCTGATCTTCACGCAATCACTGGTTTTAATGTATATTGTAATTTGACATAATAAAAGCATGGTCTTGCCCACTTTGTCTGACATAATCTAAATACCTTCTGGAAAGATTGCAATTACACTTGACTCAAACGCTGCTAATTATAGCGACAAAGCTGCTTACAATTGATAGCAATACATTCCTGACAACTAATTATTGTTACAACACAATGTTATGAACTGGTACTGGATCTTAACATAAACACTTTTCAATAATAAATGACGCTTCCATTTAACAATACAGAAAACACAATGAGTCGTGTTTTGTGTTCTGTCTGTCTGTTCAAGCAATGGGCTGCACTATGTCTAGATGACAGTTTACAGCCATAATAAATAATTTGCATTCCGTTAGACTATAAAAATACAAACACGTTCTAAGGTATTTGAACGTAACATAAGATGTAATTGCCACATTAGTAGTGCACTGACCTAGTTGTAATGTTTACTGGCACTGCATCAACAAGAGTATATCTCGATCAGCAGTCTTGATGTGAGCTGAGTCAGAGCGGACTATCGCGAAGATATTGAAGGTTCTGCTATCCAGCTTATAGATGTCTTCCTTTAGGAGAGTGTTTATCGGTGTTTCTTACTTGGCAACAATAGTGATTGCGTTTGAAGCTGAGGAATTCGTGGTACGGGATACCCTTTATGGTCGGATCAGAGGCAGAGTTAAAACTGTGCTGGGTTCCAAGAAGGTTGAACGATACCTGAGCATTCCCTATGCATCACCTCCTGTAGGAGAACTCCGATTTGAGGTGAGATGTATGAATGAGTGCCTGAGTGAGGGAGTTCAATTTTACGCCGCACTCAGCAATATTCCAGCTATATGACGGCGGTCTGTAAATAACCGAGTGTGGACCAGACAATCCAGTGATCAACAGCATGAGCATCGTTCTACGCGATTGGGTGTATGAATGATATGAACCGAGAGCCATGTAATATCAGTATGATTAACAATTTTTTATCATTACTATTTGATTAACAAGATTTTTTGATTTTTGGTTAATATCAGCAGTCTGTATCTGTCTACATCTATGTTATGAAAATGACATTTAAGAAAATAAATCTGTCAAAGCACAAAGTTGAAAATGACATTATAAATACAGCCAGTGCATGTTTTAGCATCACACCGATATTTGTTCTACAGAACCCTGAGAAACCAGTTACATGGAAAGGTATACGAAACACGAAAGTGCTTCCCCCTGCCTGTCCCCAGATATTCTCACTATGGAGTTATGTGTATTCACACCGTCCTGGATTCAATGACAGCGATGAAGACTGTTTATACTTGAACATGTATGTTCCGCAGGTATGTTCACATCACCAGTATCGTTCATTTTAAAAAGTTGATCTTGGGTCAAGGATTCTCTTTACAATGAAAACAGAAAGTACAGGAAAATATTTACCTCAAGTTACAGCATAAAAGTAATAAATCGCTTGACATTTGAGCGTTGTAACAAAATGTCTAGTGTGTGAAGTATTGGCTGCATAAAATTAAATGACAGATTCCTCGAAGGTAGATACCGCCATGACTTGAGAACATATCAATTGGTTGTTGTTTAACACCACGCTCAGCAATTTTCTAGCTATATGGCGGCGTCTGTTAATTGTCATGTCTGGACCAGACAATCCAGTGATCAACAGCATTATCACCGATCTACGCAGTTGGGATACGATGACATGTATCGAACCTGTCCACCCGAACTCGATCTTACGACAAGCCTATTCTAACCCGGATCTTCACGGATCGAGAAGACATCAAAGGTCCCGCCCTGTCACACATATATCTCGTAATGTGTACAATGCTGATGAAGGACCACGTTCCTGGTTTGTGTAACAAAAAATACAGAAAATGCAAAACTGCAGAATCCTGTTTAAGCCTACGATAACGAAACAATTGAAGACCGTCAATCACAGATTGGTCATTCGTAATATATGTATCAGTGAAGGAATCGTAGACCGATAGGGAGATAGGGAACTTGTAGATCGACCTTACACACATTGATTATCTGATACAATCAAATATTGATTATTTTATCTATGGGAATGTTCTTCCATCTTTTGCCATAAACTTTCGCCATATAATATGTCATATCTAATGCAGCGAGAATGACATTGCCAAAGTGTTGGTTCGACTGAAGAATATATAATATTGACGAATATTCATTTTACTAGTATATCACATGTGCGCACACGCGCGCGCACGCACGCACGCGTGCACACACAGACAGACAGACAGACACACAGACACACTTGCTCATCTGTTTCCTAGTGCATGTGCATTTCTGTTCAGATTTACCGATATTTTACTTGGGATTGAATTAAAACTAGTACTTTTAGTACTAGAACTAATTAGTCAGTGAATTGTCGTTAAATTATCGCAATCTCTTTTAACTCGAAACAGGAAATGTTTCATCCACTATTTTTGTAGTTAAATGATTTAACAGAGCCCAAACAAAAAAGTAAAAAGTAAATGGACGTTTCTTGTACCACAGGCAAACAGTAGCGCAAATAGTGTTTCGCAACAAAGAAAAATGACCGGTTCAACGGAGTGAAGGAAAAAGAATAAGCAGAAGTTAAAAAGAATCATGTTTTCTAATTTTACCATTAAACTGTTGGAGATAATTTTTCTTATCTCTTGTCGTTATTGTTAGAATTTTCGTAACATTTGCTCTACAAGAAAAACCCAAACAAACGCTTCGGGCGTAGCGGGTGAACGGAAGCAAGAGAGGTAACTCTTGACGGACATGTGATTCAACAAGTTTATTTAAAATTTAAGTCCCTTCACTCCGTTAAACCGGAAGCTGGTAGAACGAGGAGGCTAAGAACGATTTGATATGCCACGATGTAGCGCTTATAATGTTGAATGAAATAGTTGAACGTGGGTAATTATTAAATATGAGGTTGGAAATCAGAGATCACAACCCTGTGAGGAAATGGGCGTCTCCCTTTGATGGATTCGATATTTTAATTTGATATCAAAAATATTTTTCGAACCGAAGCGAGGGAATAACGTTGCCAACCTTTGCTTGCTGCGCTCGCACATTTTTTGTTGCGCAACTCTATTTGCGCTACACTTTGCCTGTGCATGTACATATACACAATGTTATTTTTTTCAAGACAGTAGTTATACAATTACATTATATCTGTTGTCAAGATAGCAGAAGATGACAGTAAGATGGCGGTCCTTGTTCACGTCCATGGTGGCGGTAATGCTGTTGGAATGGGAGCCATGTTAGATATGGACATCTTGGCAGCACAAGGGGAGATCATCGTCATCAATTTTAACTACAGACTGGGTGCTCTCGGTATGTAAAAGTCTAGAATTTTTACCTTTTTCCAAAACACTGATAATAATACAAATAAGTATGGACTTATTCTGAAACTCATACAGACGTCATGTTTAGGAATATTTAATATTTTCAGAACTCTCAGTTGTATATTACAGGTTTTCTAAGTGGTGGACAGCCGGAGTTTCCAGGAAACTATGGTCTGCTGGACCAAACTGCAGCGCTACAATGGGTTTCTCAAAACATTCATTTCTTTGGAGGTGATCCAAGCAAGGTTACCGTCGAAGGACACAGTGCAGGGGCCGCAGATGTTGGCTACCATATTGTGTCACCACTGTCAAAAGGTACATATCAGACACTTAGACAATGGCGCATTGCAAGGAGTTTAGTTTCTTTTACGTTGATGTTGCACTGAAAATTCGAATGATCAATTTCAGGATTATTCCGTTTCGCCATCATACAAAGTGGGTCACCAACAGCCCCTTGGGCATTTCAATCTCAACATCGAAAGGTTCTTACCAGGTTCAGCGAAGCTCTCAGTTGCAACAGTTCCAAGGATCTGCAGAAACTCAAGCAGTGCTTAAAGACGAAGAAATGGACAGATATAAGGGATAGACCTTACAGTCCTCATGTGAGTTTTGCGATGACCATTATATGCACCTGTTCACAATGTTAATATTCTTTATGGGTATATGACCCATACGGATAGTTTTGTCATGAACTACCTTTTCGTCTGGTGTTTGTCAGGTCTATAAAAGACTCTTGTGTTACCTTGAGTGGTTTTATGAATTTCCAGTGTGTTCCCTCGGGCATGTGTTTGTCCCCTGTAATTGACGGATTCTTTGTGGAAAAGCACGCGGACATTCTGTTTAAAGAGGCTGAACTGAATGGGGAAGCCTTTATGGCTGGAATAACAAGGGATGAAGGTACGGTGCTACATGGCTAGATGGTTATCACAGATATAATTTGATTGTCATGAATCTAAATAGCATTAGAGGGTTTTGCTACATTTCGTGGATCTTCAAGTCTATTTTCAACTCGCAAAAGTTTTCACACTTTAAAGCAAAATATTAAATTCTAGAACAATACAAGAACCAAGGAACTGTAAACCTGATGGTATTGAAAACAAAAATTAAAACGACCATGTAATATATTTTAAAAAGGCGACCTGCCACTGGCTGAGCAGGAAATGCTCACTTTTTCACAAATACCTGCATCTTAGCATTCGATCTAATTGCATCTCTGATTTAGATATGTGTTGATTCTGTCATCCTTTAGGGAGGTTTCCTGATATCGTTCGTCCCACTACGTTGGTAACGCCCAGAAATGTGAAACGCTTTATTAACAATAACATCGATTTAGGTAAGTATCTTATATAATAACTGAACACTTTAAGACTGATTTTAATGAAGTTTATGCATTGAATAAAATGTTAATGAAAATTTTACCCATAGGTCTTACAGTGATGACGTACAACCTTGTTGACCGAAAACAAGTTGATAACTTTCTGAACCAAATGTAGAGTCATGATTTTATTCAGGCTGCAAGTATATGTTTCTATATTTGTATTTGTTTGTGTAGTTACATGATAAGCCAACAGAACTGATACAAAAGAGTGTGAAACATAATATACCGTTACATTTGAAATTAGGTTTTTCTATTTCCAGTTACAAGCAGTATCATTGCACACGAGTACTACCCTTGGAATGACCCTCTGGACAGGAAGGCTACTCTTTTTGCATTCGGTGATGTAAGTATGCACTAAAACTTTAAGAAACGACCCCACATATCCCGTTAGCAAGAGCGCCCAACCATTTCTCTATGGTGGCTTTATGGTAGTTTATAATCGTTCGTTCTAGTCCACAAACGTTAACCAAAGCCGGAACCTGAACATCAAATGACACATGTCAACGTATCCAAATTACGTATTCGATCGATGCTCACGCTATCTATCTATCTATCTAAAGCAGTTTAATAACGTGATTACATACATCAAAGTTTGGGCTACACTCATTGATTCTACAGGGTTCTACTCACAGCCAGGGTAGATTATCGTTGTTTATAGTCAGCTCCTGCTCTCTTCCAGCTTTGGGGCGATAACGACATCGCTGCTCCTACCTTCGATATAGCTACGCGTATCGCTGCCAGGACGGACAACATCCACTTTTATTCCTTTGATTACGCATCACCTTCTGCCAAAGTGCAAGGTACGTACGTTGTTGACATTGATGATGTTAGGTGAGGGGTGTATATTTGCTTTCAGTATCATGTGATTATGATTGTAAAATATGAATGATTATGGATAATACTTATGAGAGCGAGTGTCAGTGTAAGTGGTTCTGTGAGTGGCTGAATAAGTTATTTGGGTTTAAAACCGCATTGAAATATGATATGATATGTTTTTAACTCACGAGTGAGTGTGTGAGTGAGTTAAGCTTTACGCAATATTCCAGCAATTTCACGGCAGGGGACAACAGAAATAGGCTTCAAACATTGTACCCATGTGTGGGATTCAAACCAGGGTCTTCGGTGTGACAAACGAGCGGTTAAACCACTAGGCTACCCCACCGCCCCTTATAACCCACGACATCTGCATTATATGACATAAATATTTGGACATATGACATATTTCTGCCAAGGTGTAAGGTAGGTACGTTCTTGACATTGATTTTGGTAGGTGAGAATTGTACATTTGCTTTTCAGTGGTACTGATTTAGGTTACTAGATATGTAATATTATGGACAGTACACGTGAGAGTGAGTGATTGTGCATGTGTGCTTGTGTGAGTGAAATAGTGATTAAGGTTTAACACCGCAGTGTGATATGATCTGTTTACAACCCACAAGATCTGATTTATACAACATGAATTTTCTGAACAAATAGATATATCACAACAAGCGGCAACAAAGTAAGGCTGAATATATTCCAAATAGTTTTATTGCAGAGTATGTTTGCAAGCGTTCCACTGTTTACCGTGAATAAATTCTCAACAATAACTTTATTACGTTTGAAAAACATTCATTTACAGCAGAATATGGCCATGGTTATGTTGTTGTAGTTGAGTTTCTAAATCATGATGATGCTCTAAATCATGCGTCCTGATCAGCAATTCCAAATAGTTATATTGCAGAGTTGGTTGTTTGTTTGGAATCGTATTTCACTGTGAATCAGACCCGTGAAGATCCGGGGTAGAATAGGTCTTCAGCAACCCATGCACAAAAGGCGACTGTGCTTGTCGTAAGAGGCGACTAACGGGATCGGGTGCTCAGGCTCGCTGACTTGGTTGACACATGTCATCGGTTCCCAATTGCGCAGATCGATGCTCATGCTGTTGATCACTGGATTGTCTGGTCCAGACTCGATTATTTACAGACCGCCGCCATATAGCTAGAATATTGCTGGGTGCGGCGTAAAACTAAACTCACTCACTCACCATAGGCGGATCCAGAGGGGGGTGCAGGGGTGCGCACCCCCTTTTGTGCTGAAAGTTTGTTAAATGACCATTGAAACTTGGTGAAAATGAAATGTGCACCCCTCCTTTTCTCAATAGTGTGCACCCCCAACCCCCCCTTCTCAAAAAGCTGTATCCGCCCCTGCTCACTGTGAATAAATTCTCAACTATAAACGTATTCCGTTTGAAAAACACTAATTTACCTGTTTGATAGTAGTTCAGAGCAGAATGTAGACATAGGTATGTTGTTATTAATGTTATAGCTCTAAATTATGCATTCTGGTCAGCAAAATGAAGATATCTTGGACGAAGTTCATTGCGATCATACACTATTTTGTTTCTACCTGTAGCTGTCATTCATGGACGAGACCTGTTCTACCTGTTCGGCTGTCCTTTCTCTGGACATCCCCTGTACAACTATACGGACGAAGATCGTCAGGTCAGCAGAGTCTTCATGAACATGTGGATCAACTTCGTCAAGACAGGGTGAGGAAATGACCTCCTAGTGAATATTGCATTGCAGCGTTTCCCCCAAAACAAAGGCTTCAAATTGCTTCGTCTCCTTTTTAATTTTTTAGGATGGTTAATTAAATCACTATTATTGTATCGCCACCAGATATCTAAATTCTGTTTTCACACAATGTCGTGTGTAAAGGTCGTGGGGAAAGTGGTTTCACAAGTCGTTTCTCTCATCCTTATTTTTCTGCTTCTCCTTCTGTTGGTGACTCTCTGATGCTGACAAACATATAGTGTGAGCTGAATAAATAAAGTGAACATTACGTGACTCCATTCTTGTAAATACATTTAATTTTTTAAAGGAAACCTTCGTCAACTATCGAAACAGATCAAGTATACTTCCAACAGTTTGATAGCGAGATTCAAGCATACATGAAAATCGATGGGGTTGATGGGAAGGGAACAATAAAGACAGCATACAAGCCTCGGGCTCGCCAGATGGCCTTCTGGAATAGTGTGCTGCCACAGATTATTGCTCTCCAATCAAAACCGATACAAAGTGAAAAAGAAAAATACGGTCTATTAACCTGGAGTTTAGCCATTGTGAGTGGAATATTGTTTCTGTGTGTCATTGCAAGTGTCGTGTTTCTTGTGCGAAAACAACGTCTTTATACACAAGCAAACTAAAAGTCAACAGTTTGATGATATAATGTCATTGCATGCTTTCAACGGATATAAAATTGTTACTTTGATCACTTACACTGATGGTGTATTTGTCACTGAAAGACATAGGTGAATCATTTGTCTGCCATCCCTATGTTTAACGGTGTTCTCATACGTTTCGCCATTGTGTTTTCTCATAATTTTGTCCACACAATGAAGTGTCACAAAAGGTTAATATGGACAGAAAAGAATTCAATTAAAGACACATACCCTTTCATCAATCTACACATATTAGTGTGTCATAGTTCTTCGGAGAGATATGAGATTTCAAATATGATGTTACTATATTATCATCATCAGTGATGTCCTTGTTTAACTCTTGTCAGTACTCCTCATGATACTTGAATGAAAGATCATACAATTAGGGCTCTCACGAGTCCAAAATTTGGGACTCGAGTACTCGAGGTGTCAGACCCGACTCGGACCCGAGTACCCGACAATTTGGATGCTTATCTGAAACCAACATTCAAGCATACACGTAGCTGTTCCAACTTCCAATCTACGAATAATGCAACATGTATATGTGAATCCAAACGTTCCTGAATAAAGCAATTGATATTCAATGTCATTGGAAGTATCTATTACCTTTTTATTTGCAAACAGAATGTGAAGGCAACGTAAGTGTCACTGTGACCCAGTTCTACGCGATCAATTATGTGATTAATGTTCATGAGCTGGGCCGGTGATATCTTATTGATTTAAACATATTTTTATTCATGAAGATGAATTGGGATTGGTGAACAAGCATTACTGCTTATATTAACACCGCTCCCATGCAACATATAATACAACATGAAAATGGAGGATTTGATGTCATCGATACTGACCATTGCATAAATATAATATTTTTAGAATGTATAAATATATACAGATTACATGAAATACAACTATTCTGTAAGTAGTCATAAGTTAGAGAGTTACAGTTGTGTGTGTCTCACAAGCCATTGTAGAACTATAAATCAATCATGAGAAGGTTGTTGAGTAAATTTAATTATTTTCCTGAGAAAATTTAAAGCGTTGTGTCTTGGTTATATAATCGTGGACGGATTCAACTATTTTCTGGTTTACACAGGGAGTAAGTTCTTTGTTTCCCTTAAGAATGGTATCCAGGTTATAACCGGTAGTGTAAAAATACATATTAAGTCTTATCCGAGTATAGTTACGGCAAGTGAGGAAATAGTGTAGGGCGTTTTCACTCTGATGTCCACAAGAACAACAAGGGCTGTCTATTAAATGTCTGTTATACTTATCGGCGTTTAGGTCGCTACATCCGAGCCTGAGGCGGCAGTGAACGGTTTGGCAAAAACGAGTGCCATAATTAAGGTCAAAGTTTGTTATGACTTGTGCCGCGAACGGCACCACATATAGTTCTCAGAGCATCAAGATGTAAATTTTCTAATGTACGCGATTGCTCAGAAGTACAGTTATCCCAAATATGCGAACAATAGTCAAAAATATTGGCAAGATATAGGATTTATACATAATATCCAACGTTTTACGTGATAATCGGTATTTAAAACTCCTCAGACAACTGATCATAGGGCGAACTTTACGTACAATATCATTAGTGTGATCATTCCACGTACAATCGCTTTGGAGTGTTAATCCTAAATGTTTATGACTTTTGACTTCTTTTATGATTGTTCCGTCCATGAATAGGTTCGGTTTTAGAGACGGTTTCGTTTTACGTGAGAACTGAGTAGTTTCGGTTTTATTTGGATGAAATGTAACCTGCCACTTACGGGCCCATTGTGAAATTCTATCTAGATCTTTGTTAAGACAGGTAGCAGCAACTGATGGATCGTCTATGATAACATATAATGAGGTGTCATCCGCAAAGAGACGAATGTTACTGTCAACATCACATACAATATCATTAATGTATATAAGAAAAGAAGTGGTCAAAGGCCACATTCGCCATATACCATGCAGTTAGGTGTCTTTTGAGCTTACATTTGGTTACTTTTTACAGGCTAAAAGATGCACTCTCTCTCAATACAATCAAAACGCTGAAAACCCCATATTTCAGATCCATATAATAAAATGGGTTGAATCTGAAATTAAATATCTTAAAAACACATTGGGTGGATATAGTTTCCAACTTTGTTATAAAAACCGATAAAACTTGTATTAAAGCCTTTTTTTCCACGTAAAAAGTTAAGTTATGTGCACATTTATTCAAGTTCATTCTGTTTGAAAACAAAAACCCTAAGTAAGAATATTGATCGGATACATTAATCAACTGACCATCAAAAAACCAGCGTTCGTTTCTGGCCACGGGACCGCCCTCCTAAATATCACAATTTCTGTTTTGCTTAAATTTACTGTTAACTTCCATTCTTTAGTATAACTTTCTAAGATATTTAATTGATTTTGTAAACCGACCACAGTATCCGAAACTAAAATAACGTCGTCAGCAAAAAGGAGCATTAGGACTTCTACAAGATCTGGGTACATTTGGATTCCATGTTTTCCAGCTAAATTGATATCGTGATATAATTCACTAATGAAGAAGGAAAATAGGAGTGGACTTAAGCAGCAACCTTGTCTTAAACCAAGTGGGCAATCGAAAAATCT